GGAGAGAAGTAGGTTTGAAGAAGGGAAGACAGTGTCTTCATGACAAGTGGGAAGTGTCCGAGGCCCCTCTGAGCAGGGCCAAGGGTGTGGCAGGAGGTGAGGTCTGAGGTGGCAGCAGTGTGGACCCGTAGCATGGGCAGCCCTGGGGGTCGATGTCCTGGGGACCAGGGGCACTGGCTGGTTATAAGAAACATTTACCAGAGCCTGGGGGCAGGGGGCAGATGTCAGCCCCGTTCTCAGGAACTGGGCCCTCTGGTCAGCGGGGCACTTGGTATTAGCCAGAAAGGGGACCACATACTGTGAGCTCTCTCTTCAGGGTTTCTTTGGGCAAACGCTCAGAGCAGCATCAAGATCCGCGGTTGGCAATGCTGGCTGTGACTGGCGGTCACCTGGGGGTCCACCCCCACGGATTCAGTGGACCTGCCCAGGATGAATCCCAGACAGTGGGAGTGTTAAAGGCTGCCCAGGTGGTTGTAATGTGTGGCCAATGTGGAGATCCTGGGCTCTAGGACAGCAGCACTTCTCAAACTTAGGAGTATTTATGAATCTGCTCAAGGTGATGCTTCCCACCCAGTCCGTCTGGAATGATGGCAGCACTGCTGGTCCACGGACCACATGTGGAGTGGTGAGGCTCTGGGTCTGCGCGCTCCGACACAGAGCCACTAGCTGCACGTGGCTGTTTAAATGTAAATGTAAGCCAAATTAAAATGCAGTTCCTCAGTCACAGCAGCCACATTTCAAGAGTCCAGGAGCCACGTATGACTGGTTGACAGCACAGAGGGCATTTGCACCATTATACAAAGTTTTACTGGACAGCACTGTTTCAGGACTGTCACTAGCAAACAGCATCTTTCTGAGACCCCGTAAGGGTTGTGCTCTTCCCAAAAATGGCTTGGGTGTCGAGGCACCGTAATACTTCACCTTTCTGCCTGTATGCCTGTCTCCCTCTATCAGCTTCTTGAAGTCGGGGTCTACAGCGGATTTACCCTCTCAGTAAATGGGCAAATAATAACAATAGCTAACATACAGTGAGCACTTACTAAGTGCCGAGTATTATGTTAAAACGCTTTACGCGTTAATTTTCAACAACAATCCTATTTAGCAGATAATAAAAGAAACTTAGGTTAAAGAACTTGCACAAAGGCACGTAGCTAGTAAACTATGGAGGAGAGGTAGAGCCCGCATAGGTTCACTGCAGCCCGCGCTCCCCAGTGTCATGCTGCACTGCAGTTCTCAGCTGGGGCAGGTGTGGGCCCCAGCAGACATTGGCAGTGCCTGGAGACGTATTTGATTGACACCGCTGTGGTAGGGTGGGGAAGGGAGGTATACTAGCATCTGGCGGGTAGAGATGCTGAGCATCCTACGGTGTACAGGACTAATCCCCACAACAAAGACCTATCCAGCCCAAAATGTCAGCAGTGCCAAGGCTGAGTAACTGTTGTTTGCCACTCAGTGAATAAGTTAAAATGGGGAGGAAGTGGTTTTATAGGACAGTCATGAGGTCATACCTCTTAGTAAGAGATGGTATGTGATGTAGTGATAGTGAATGAAGATTAGAGATCAAGAGGTCTGTGTTCAAATCCCAGCTTTGTTACATATTGGCCAAGTGACCCTGGACAAGTCACTTTATTCCACAAGACTCTGTGGTCCCATATCTAAAATGGGGATTGAAAATATCCTTACATTGCAAGGAGGGCTGTGAGGGTCATTATGAATATGACACTGCTCTGAAGACAAAGATGGAATAAACCTTAGCTGTGAACACTTCTTTGGTCGGGAGAAATTTCCCTACCTGGCTAGTGGTGGGTGAAGGAGGGCCCAGATGTAATAGAGAAAGGGAAATCTGAGCTCCAAGGACAATGGCTGTCCCTGGAATGGGTTAGTTACTCTTCTGTTGGCCACCCTAGACAGTTCTTGAAGAATTCCAGCAGTTCCTGGAGATCTGAGGTGGGGAAACAAGGAATCTAAGGTGAGGCGTTTGTGTACATTTCGAAGTGTAAGTCGAATAATTTTTCACCTTTTTCTCAATCATGTGTTCTAGCTCAAAGTCATTTTTAAATAACTGTGCCTTTCCCTTCCCATGTCCTTGTGAGGTCCCAGTTCTATCAGCTGGTTGGGAGTGGAGACCAGCTGTCTCTGTGGAGGTGGACTGGTCATTGCCTCCTGCCGAGAGGCTGGCTTTAACCGCACAGACAGTGGCCGTTTAGCAATGTGCTTTCAGTCCAGCTCCTCCACTGACAACTCTGTGCCCTTGAGCCCGGCCCTGGCTCCCCGGGGTCTCCACTGTGGGATGTGGAGGTTGGATTAGGCCACCCTGGGATGTCTGCCAGCCTCGACATGCCAGGTGCTGGGCAGCTGTCCCAGAAGTCAGGAAAAGAGCCTGGTAAGTCATCTGTCCCTTGGGGTGTCCCCAATACACATGGCTGGCCGGATTCCTGGCCTCGCTGCACACACGCACACATAGATGTGACTCACGATTGTTTTTCTTTATGAATGCCTTCTCACACATGTTACCTGTGAGCAGCAGATCCCCAAAGCAGGTGTAGTTGGGGCTCTGACAACCACCAAAGCAGATCCCGGGGCCCCGTTTGGGAAGAACTCACATTGGTTTCTACGGTGGGGACCTGGGCAAGCTCCTGCCCTGGGACGAGGACCGATACTCACCCCCACCCCGTGATGAACGTGCTACCGTGTGAGGCCCTCGGAAATACGTGCTGCCACCGGGAGACTCTCTGACTCCCTCAGCCGTTTCACCGGGAGGACGGCGCCTCCGGGCCCTCGCTGCCTTGCCTCTTAGGATAGAAGCGTGCTCCTAGGGCTATTAAAGCAGCCGTGGCTTTTGTCTTTCTGCCATGTGGAGTTGAAGCTTGTGTGAAAAGAGATATGTAGGCCAGGAGAAGGCGGGTTTCTGAGCATCAGCTGGGAAATTCAAACCACAGAAAGCCTGGCCTGGGAAAGCAGGAGAGCCGGCTGAGGAGCCCTTGGCAGTGCCTCCTGACCTGGGAGTCAGGTAAGGGATGAGGGCAGTTTGGCCCTGGCAGCCCCATGCGGGTGGCTGGGAAAGAAGCTGCCAGAAACAGTGTCCTTCTGTTTGCCCCTAGGCTGTAAAGTGAGTCTGTGTGGAGTCAGAGCCTCTGCGCTGGCCGAGTGGTGCATTTCCAGCTGGGAGAGGAGGTGGAGCAGGAGGAGGGGAGGCTCTGGAGGGTGGAGGGAAGAAGGAGATTGTGGTGCATTTCCACCTGGGAGAGGAGGTGGAGCAGGAGTGGGGGAGGCTCTGGGGGGGAGGCTCTGGAGGGGAGGCTCTGGAGGGTGGAGAGAAGAAGGAGATTGTGTGGATGAGGGGAGGCAGTGCTTACAAAAGGCAAAGCGGGTGAGGCCCTAGGGAGGGTGCCCTTGAGGCTGTGGGGTAGTGAAGCGGTGGAAAGGGTCCGCTGGTGAGGGCATCCGGGGCAGTTTGCTTAATCGCAGTGTGGAAACAGCCCTGTGTGCAAACTTGCCTCACTCTGTACTTGCACAGGGAGCTAGGCTCTTCTTCCTGGTCACTCTCAAGCACCTAGTGACTCCTATCTTAGGGTGTTTTTTGTTATTTGTGTGCTTTTGCTTCTAATTGAAGAATAATATGCATACAGAGAAGTGCACAGATCCTAGGTGTGTAGCTCAGTGCATTTCCACTGAACACCCTAGACCAAGAAACAGAATGAGACCAGCGCCCCAGAGGCCCTGCCGTGTCCGCTTTCAGCAGGCTCTGGAACTCATTCCTGATTGTGGACTGTGGTGGCTGTCAGAGGATCCCTCTGGTCCTGATGGCTCTTGCAGGAGAGCCTGTCTCCATGCACTGGAGAGAACGATTCAAAAAATCCTTCCTGTCTAGACTCAGCACCTTCCCCAGGGCCTGGTACCTGGTGGGCACTCACCAGGTCCAGTCCGTTCTCATTGTCTAAGGAAGTTATGTTCTGAAAAGTCACCACAAGCTAACTTAGCAAATACTGAGCCACTGCTCCTGGAGGAAATGCAAGGTTAGCTTCCTGTGTGCCTCCTGCCACAGCATCAGTAGATCAACACATAACCTTGTTTTATGTGTAATTCTGTTTAAAGATGCTTTATTTAATACATATTTTTGATGCATTGACACTGAACACACTGCCAATAGCACTGTAACTCTTGCCTGAATGAAGCTTATCTGACACACACATTGTCTCCGTCAGGCACATCACGGCCTCCTTGGGCTTAGGAACGCATGAGCACTCCACTTGGGGGCCTAACCAGCAGAATCACAAGAAAACCTAGTGCCCAAAAATGTGGCCCTGAATAGACTACAAAAAAAAATACTGTGTACGGCGTAAGAGCTAAAACAGTAAGGCAGCGCGTCACTGCCTGACCTCAGCTGGGAACTTGCACCTTGGGAAACTCAAATTTTTTGCTGCCCTGCACATGTCTGCAAATGACCATGCCAACACCATGTGTATTGATTTGGGGATTACAAATGTATTTTAGCAAGTAGGCGAATTCTCAAATACGGAGTCAGCACACAGCGATGATTGACTCGATTTGTTGAATGAGGAGAGGAAGGAATGGCGGTAAGCTTAAGTTGAGGTGGAACTGGGACACAGCCCCGTCTCCTGTCATTCACAGTGGGGGCCTGCCCTGTGAAAAGCTCTTGCTCGGTCTCAAAATGCTCAGCACGGTCTTGAGAAGAAGCCTTGGGTGAGCATTACCACCCCGAGTTCCACCGTGGGATCACACAGCCTAGCTCTGGGACAGATGTGATGACGAGCGACTGTAGACTTTGCCAGCATGTATTGATCAGGAGCAGCCTGTGAGTCAAGACTGACAACAGATCAATGAATGGCTTGTAAGAAACCAAACGCCTGAAGTTCTTTATCTAGGAAGCCTGAGAAACCCTGCAGCGGTGGTGTGGCCCCATGTGTCCCCAGGGCCCGGGGCCCACCTCTGCCCCAGAAGTCCTCTTAGTGTCTGTAGTCGGGTCCCATTTCCACCAGGTCAACCACGGCCGTGGCAATGGACCTGGAAGGCAGGCAGAACAGAGGACTGCGGCTCTATCTGTTGAAGCACCGAGGCACAGTGACTGTGCTGGCTTCAGCTGGCTGTGAGAAACGGCGATGATACATCCACTTTAGATCCGAAGTCTGAGCAAACTCAGGCCTCTCTTCCACAGAAAACGTTGTGAAGACCTGGGAATGAGCTGTTGATGTGCATTTTTAGGATGGCAGCATAACGGAGAAAATTGGAAGGAGTGTATGCCAGAGTATGAAGTGTTCACACAGCTCCCTTGGGTGGTTGATTTATGGGAAGCTTTTTTCTCCTTT